ACAGAGCATGAACGGGGGAGGGGCAGAGAGAGAGGGAGACACAGAACCGGAAACAGGCTCCAGGCTCCGAGCCGTCAGCCCAGAGCCCGACGCGGGGCTCGAACTCACGCGAGATCACGGGAGATCACGCGAGATCGTGACCTGGCTGAAGTCGGACGCTTAACCGACTGCGCCACCCAGGCGCCCCCAGAGGAAACCGTCTTAAACACGACTGAGACACTCAAACAAAAGTCATCTAAATTAGAAGTCTAACGCTGTGTTCCCACAGAGCAGTTTCTTCAAAAACGGTCACTAACTAAAGAACCAACTCTTAAGATCCTCAGGAAAGGGAACATGATCGTCTTAGTTCTCCTCCCTTGTCCCTCACAGGACAGTCTTTTCAACTTATTTTCAACAGCCTAAGTTGATAAAGATTTAACAGATTTGGGGCGCCTGGGTGGCTCAGTCGGTTAAGCGTCTGACTTCGGTTCACGTCATGACCTCACGTTTTGTGAGTTTGAGCCCCAGGCCGGCCCTGTACTGACAGCCCAGAGCCCGGAGCCTGTTCTGGGTTCGGTGTCTCCTTCTCTCTGCCCCTCCCCCCTCTGTCTCTCAAAAATCAACATTAAGAAAAGTTTAAAAAGCAGATTTAACAGATCTTTGTTTCCTAAAGGTCGTTTCTGCAGTTAGAAAATGGCAAAGCACTCACAGCAGGGGTCCCCACGTGCTGCACCGTCTCCTGACCGCAAGCCCTTCCTCGTGCTCTCGCTCTGGCTCGCCCGGTCATTTTTCTTCCTTGAGAGAAAATAATCACAAACACAATACTCAATGTGCACAATTTGACGGTTTCTACGACGTGACCTTTAAACTTCAAGATTCTAAAAGAAGCTCCTGAATTATCACGTATCTTCCTAACCTGTCCTCTAACGAACTCAAGCGCTGGCAGGGCGGCGCTAAAGCAGACGACCTGTTTTAACCAGTATCTCATTTTCATTGCACTACTGGTTTTTTTTTAATAGTTAAAAGTTTACTCGTTTTGAGAGAGAGGGAATGCAAATGCAGGAGAGGCAGAAAGGGAAAGAGGGGGACAGAGAGAATCCCACATGGGCTCTGTGCTGACAAAACAGAGCAGTGGCTCGAACTCGCAAATCGCGGGATCAGGACCTGAGCCAAAGCTGGACCCTTAACCGACGGAGTCCCCCGGGCGCCCTGAATTATTGTTTTATACAGACGCAGGGAGAAAACTGTTAAGAAACGTCTGAGGGTGGGGACTAGCTCTTTCACATCCGGACACGTATCTAGGACACCAGGCACTGGTGGCACGGGCAGGCCCTTCACGGAATTCACGCACGTGTGCGCACAGCTTCTGGGATCTCCCCACAGGTTCACACGTGAACGCACCCAAACCAGTGTCTGTTACAGCACATCACTCGTGCTCCAGAATCTCTCTCTCGGTGAGCAGCACAACCACCCGCTGCCTCTAGGGAAAAAGGACGGAGTCGTTTAACTACTCCTTTATTGCTCTTGCTACTTCTGATCCAACACTTCTCTCCGACACCGTGTTCGCAAGGCCCTGGGGGCCAGGACGGGTGCTGGGCGTCAGAGACATTACCACGCCCAGTTTCCCCACCCACTCACCCCCACCAGAGTGGACAGCAGTATCGTCGGGTTGTTAAGGTGTAGACCTCAGAGCTAGTCTGCCCGAACCCCACTCCTTCACAGAAGTGACCTTGAGCACATCACATAACCTTGACTCCTCTCTGATCTGTGATAGGGAGTTAATAACCTACCACACAGGTCCAGTGTGCGGTTCAAGTGAGAACACACATGAGGCACTTGACACACAGTGAACGTTCAACATCAGCTGTAGTAGGAAAGGCACGCAAAATTGGAGCTACAAATTTTTTAAAGCTTAACGCAGCAAATAAACAACGCTCTCATACAAAAATCAAGCAGGAACTGATTTACACACTGAAGTGTGCCTCCAATGGAGCTAGCACTTACACGGAGCTGGAAGATTAGAACTGGAAGGGAGACGGTGCCTGTCTTCCCCAGCAGGGCGAGGTGCTGAGTGTGGCTGGTCGGCAGGACTGGGAGCCGCCCGGGGACTCCAGGTACCCGGGAAGGAAAGCTGGTGAGCTCGGAGGCAGGCACAGATCCGAATGCACAGGGCCCTGCAGACAACGGGGTGGGGTGCCACGAAGGTTCTAATTACAGAGGGGCGGGCTGTGACACATTTAAGATCACTCTGCTTCACATCACATTTTCATCTTTTTTTCCAGTTTGAACAGCTTCTAAAATCCTTGCTGTACGAGGGCCTTCCTAGAAAGACCAACCTAATGACATCCTCCAACTGGGAAACCCCTCTTTGACTTCCCGTTGTGTTCCACGGGATCGGAAGCAGATCCTCAAACTTACCAAACTGTAGAAACCTTCACGATCTGATTCTAAGTCAGCCATCTCCAAAGCAGCTTACAAAACATCATTTGCGAGGGGCCCACGTATCAGAACCCGTGTTTAATGCCGTCTTCAACTACCGCGCATATACTGCCTGTATCAGGACAATGGCTATGCGCACCTAACTCCCGCCCTGGGCCTACCGGCATATGTGCTCAGGGCGCTTACTGAAGGGGTACAGAATGAGACTTTTCTTTCCCGCACGCACCCCAGTAAATTCCACCATTCACCTTGTACCACGGGGTGCCCTACCTCCTCCACACGGCTGCGGTCCCACCAGCATTACTGCAGCTACCGCACAGCCCAATAATTCCCTCCCTCACTAGACGCGGACGCTGGTCCTAGTCAGTCCTGCGCACCTGCCCGGCCCAAGTGCACGTCTGGGGTTTCTTTTTAAGCCTGGTAAAAAGCTGAACTGCCACCTCTGACAGAAAACGTTTTCCTAGCGCACTTCTCAGAACGTGACCACTCTCTCTCAGCAACACCTAGAACTCGTTGGAAACGCCAGTTAAACAGGGGGGTTCCCCGCTCCCAGACCCACGGGGTCCACGGCTCGTTTCAGCGGGCCTCCAGGTGATTCTCACCATCACCCAAGACAACCACGTAACCACACACAGGTGGGGTGTGCAGACCCCGTGCTGGGCTGGCCGGTACAGCTGTGGTTCTCGGCTACATCCTTCCAACCTCAGGGCGCCCCAGAACGGGAGACGAGTTAGATAGTCACTTTCAAGTAAGACTTGGAGGCGATGCTTCTAATCATCATCCCAGCTAGAAACCACACCGGGTCAAACTGTGCTCCACCCAGAGGCAATGCAATCCCAGCACCTGCCCCCAAACGAGAGCTGCCCCGGCCCCTGTGGACTGGAGACCAGTGCAGACCAACCCCCTAAGAAGGGCCCCCTGAGCTCCCCCCACCTGGACAGTGCCACTCTCCTCACCCTGGGAAGTAAAGGGAATGCCCTCCCGACAGGGGCAGTGCCCCCTCAACCCGGGAGTGTCCAGGAATGCCTCCCAACCCAGAAAGTGCCCCCCCAACCCAGGCAACGTTCAGGAATACCCTCCGACCCAGTGTCTGGGAATGTCCCCCAAACCAGACGGTGCCCCCAACCCAAGTAGCGCCCGAGATCGCCCTTCCCTGACCTCGGAAGTGTCCAGGAATGCCCCCCGACCCAGATAGGGCCCCCCGACCCAGACAGTGTCCAGGAATGCCCTTCCCTGATCCCGGAAGTGTCCAGGAATGCCTCCTGACCCAGATAGGGCCCCCCAAACCCGGGCAGTGTCCAGAAATGCCCTCTGACCCAGACACTACCCTCCCGAACCCGGGCAGCATCCAGGAATACCCCCCCTGACCTTGCAAGTGGCCTCCAGTCCCCAGCAGTGTCCGGATATGCGCCTCCCCCCCCCCCCGCACTCCCCGCCCCTGGGCCTGTCCCTTCCCCAACCCCTGCCCCCTCCAACCCCTGCGTCATCGTCGCCGCGGTGCCCGGCCTCACCAGGCCCAGAGGCTGCAGGTACAGGGAAACAGACACGCCGTGCGGGCCCCGCGACCCCCAGCCCTTCGCCTCACCTCCGCCGACCGAACCGCGCCAACCGTCACCGCACGCCGGATCCCTCCGCGCCGGGACTTCGCGCCCCGATGCCCACCCCAGTGACCTGGCGCTCCTCGGCCCGTGAAGCCCTGCCGCTCGCCGTCGCCACCAGCCGGGGCTCCCACCGGCGGTTGCGGGGCGCGGACTCCCGCCGAAGGAGCGCGGCGTTCCTTTTCTGGGCGGATGAACACTGCTGCCTCGCGGTGAGCCCGTCTGCACGTGACACCCGGCTAACGGCGCGGCGAGGACGTGCGCGTGCTGCGCCCTGATTGGCTGACACGCCATGGCCGTTTGCCGTGGGGGCGGGGCCAGACCAGCTCAGGACTGCGGGAGGCCGGGGCTGCAATCACCTGTTGGGCGGTTGGGCGGTTGGGCGGGGCGGTTGGGCGGGGCGGTCTCCCCCTTCCGGGGACACCGTGGTGCACGGCGCTGGGCCTGGGTTAGCTGTGAGCGCCCCGCTGCAAAGTGGTGCACTGAACCTTGGGTGGCCCCTTAAAATTAGAAGCGATTTAGCTCATCAGAGAGAGAAATGAGATTGGATTTTTGCCCCAAAGAAAGAGCCAGAGCCGTTCCGGAGCCAGAATGCCAGGCGGCTGTGCACCTGCAAATGTCAGTGGGCGCAAATTGTGTGCCGAGTGCACGCGTGTTGACGTGTACGGCAGCTGTTCTCAACTTTACTGACCGGCATCAGAGTCACCTGGAGGGCCGGTTAAAGCACGGATGGCTGGCCCCCTCCCCTGGGGATTCGGATTCTGCAGATTCGGTTGGTGGGGCCGGCTGAGGTCCATTTCTTGACGAGCTGCCGGTGATGCTGGCGCGCTGCTCTGGGTCCACGTTGATCCGAGGCTCTTCGTTAGATGCCTTCAGTGGGAATTCGTTTCCTCATTGGACAACCCCAACACAATTAAAACTATTGTCAACATTGTCCAATAGGACAGGATTGTCAGGATGGGACATGAGACTACTGATGCAACTAGTTAAGTCCAGTAATATTCAACAGTTTCTTAACGATGGAGTGTAGGGGAGAGCAGGAATACAGTTGCCTAGACGGACTTGTCTTAAAGCTGCCTTTGCACAGCGAACGCTATTTTGTTCTTAAGCGTGTCTTCAGGGGGCTGGGAGTTTTCCCAAACCACGTCCCCAAGTCTATGGTCTCCTCTGTGGGACAGAAGGAACAGTCTGGGTTTCAGCGTATTCTGCACCTGCTGCATTGTAAAAACCCACATTCCCAGGTAATCCTGATTCAATAGGTTTGGGAGGGGAGCGAGGAATTTTCTTTTAAGGAGTCACCAGGCGATTTTTATGCCGAGAAGTTTGAGACCTTGAAGGCAGGATGCGTGAGCTTGACAACGTGCACGCTTAAGGAATTTACCCAAAAAGCCGTGGCACAGGACGCCAGTAGTTTTGGGGGAAACAGCTTCACTGTTCACTTTTTAAAAAGTAAAAGGCACCATTGGGAATACAAAGGCAAGCATTAGCTTTTCTGGGAAGGATCGAAGATGTTGGCGGGAAAGATGTTCTGTGATCTTGCCAGCAGATGGGGCAAGAAAACAAGAAATAAGTCTACAGTTTCCCCTGGATGCAGGGGAGAAAGAGGCCGGGAATGCACCCTGCAGGGTAGAAGTAACACTTTTCCCTCAGTTTATTTGCTCTATGTGCCTACACCCCTTGGGACTTCTAAGGCCACAGTGCTTGTGTAAAATGAGCTACAAGAGAAGTTGGGGAAACTTTTTTTTTTTTAATTTAAGTTTCTACATTGACCGCATGACCTAGTGGCGCCAGTTACTGGATACAACGATGCGTCACACTCTAGAAACTGAAAAATGAAAGGAGGTAGATCCTCCTTCTGGGAGCTTGGTCAAGAGCAGGAGAAAAGGGGGAATCAATCACTGAGAGTGAGCAGAGCACTTCAAGTGACCTGGGAGCTGGGAGGGAGGGTCGCTTGGCACACGTGGGTGCTGAAGTCTGGAAGGGTGAATGGGATTTGTAGGGAGCCCTGTGGTGCAAGCAGGGAGGGGTGTTTCGAGAACCGCCAGTGATTTGGTGCTGCGGGAGTGACGAGTGCATGCAGAAGAGGGTCAGGTGATGACACTGAAGGGGCAGACCGTGTTCTAGAAGCTGAGTGACCATAAAAAACTGAATGTCCAGACTATTGAATGCATCCTGCCGGGACAACCACCACCTCTGTCTGGTTCCAGTGTCCCCGAGTAAAGCCAGTTCCCTGTTGCCCCCTCCCTGCCAGCCCCTGGCCACCACAAATCTATGTTCTGTCTCTATGGACTTACCGACTTTATTCACGTCACGTAAACGGAATCCTACGCTATGTGGTCCCTTGGGTCTGGCTTCTCTCACCGAGCGTCATGTTTTCAAGGTTGGTCCTTGGACGCTGTAGCATGCATCAGTCCTTTGTTCCTTTTTATGGCCGAATGATACCCCACAGACCATGGGAAGACCATGTTTGTCTATCCATTTATCATTTGAAGGAAGAGTCTAATGTTTTCAAAGAGAAGCAGGGCTCTTGGAGACCTGTGGGCTCACTGTCAGCCCATGGCCATGGGTTGGTGGCATTTGTGCTGAGGGGCATTGTGGCCACATCACATCCTTGTTTCCAAGTCCAGTGCACCTTTTGGACCTACCTGTCTTCTCCGTAGCACTGCGAGTGATGCATGCTCCATTTACATATATTCTGTCCTGCCTTCCACGACCCGGGTGTTCTTCCTCTGGCTCAGGCTAGTCCCCCTTCGTGTGATTCATGGGTGTGTCTTTTCCTGCCCATGTCCTAAATGTCCATTGCAGCGGTTCTTAAAGTGTGGTCCCCAGGTCAGCAGCATCAGCGTCACCTAGAACCTACGGGGAATTCTTGGGTCCCACCCCAGGCCTGCCGAACCAGGAACTCAAGGCGAGGGCCAGAAATCTGTATCTCAGCAGCCTGCTGGTCGGTTCTGATTCACCGGGTAGCAGGTGCTCCCCTGAGCCAACCCCTGCGCAAAGGGTTGAGCTGACCACCTTGCTCACTCTTGGGGGAGCCCGGTTATCACCATGACTTCAGAGGGCCTCTTTAGTGCAATGGCCCTGAAGTCTGTGGGTGGCTCCTGAGCCTCCATTCTGGCATATTCTGGAAGGATACGCCTGTGCTTGTAAGCAGGCCCAGGACAGCTGTGGGAAGTTGGGGAAGAGCTTCTACTCATAACTAGTTTTTTTCTAAAAATAAGGAAAGAAATGAAGCCTCAATGATATTTGAGAGGTAGGTGTCCCTGGTGCCCTCCCGTGGCTCCTGGGTCTCTAAGTGAGTGGGTGGGCAGGGGTTGACAGCTGTCCCGCGACCCGCCTGTTGTCGTGAGCACTGGGACGGGCTGCCGTTTGCATGTGGTCTGTAGGCTGCGGCTCAGGTTACATAATCCTACTCACTCTGAACCAAGCCTCACGAAATGAGAAAGCTGCTTCAAAAGATTCCTGCCGCCGAAACATGGTGGAAAACCAACGAAAAACGCAAACGTGACCAAACAATAAGAAAGTGTTAAAAGCGATGCTTCCGCTAATCAGTTTTTTGTGGGGCTGTAAATGCTGAATCTTGCAGGCCTAACAGCCCCGTTGCTCTCTTGAGAAATATGAGAATATATAATAATATGTAACACACAAATATAGCATCATATAAAATATGTAAAGTATCAAAATATAAAATAATATGTAAATAAATAAAATATGTACGTAATAAAATATTATCAAAGCATTTTATAAAACAAAGGTCAAAAGTAAAATTTCATTAAAAAAATTTTTTTAACGTCTATTTTTGAGAGAGAGAGAGACAGAGCATGAGCATGGGAGGGGCAGAGAGAGAGGGAGACACAGAATCTGAAGCAGGCTCCAGGCTCCGAGCTGTCAGCACAGAGCCCAACGTGGGGCTCGAACCCATGGACTGTGAGATCATGACCTGAGCTGAAGTCAGACCCTTTAACCAACAGAGCCACCCGGCCGCCCCTAAAATTTCATCTTTAAAATAAAGCTTTGCAAGATGAAATTTTTGAGATTTTTATATTGGAGCATATTTATCACGAGCATAATAGGGCGCTGTATCTTGTAAATACGTGTAATGCTTTGCCATAAATGAATATAAATGTCTTGGGTGCACCTGCTCCAAAAACTTGTGACAAGTGCATGTTGGAGGTCGGTTGGGGGCCACTGGGCCCCGGAGGGCCCTGCTCTCTGGGCCTGCAGCTCCTGACCTGCGTACATCCTAAGAGCACCCAGTGGCCTGCTGGCCACTGGGTGCTCTGGAAGTATGTACTCCTCCCCCACCCTAGTTCCTTTGTTATTCGGGAAGCTCCCTGAGGACAGGACCCTGTCTCCCTCAGCTGGGTGTGAACTGAGGAAATGCCATCGAATACATGAGCATAGCTGCCGTGTTCAGCTTTATATAAGCCTTTGTGTTGTGAGCACGCCGGCCTTCCCACTCCCGCGTGCCTCCCGGCGGCCAGGCGAGGGTGAAAGTCACCCGCCATGTACGTGCTGGCGTCTCCTTCCCCTTCAAGTATCATCGTGTCCTGCGCTCTGGACTTCTTGTCTTTGGCTAATAGCCGCAGGTGTTCTGCTTTCTGTCGTGTACTTCTGTTCTGCAATGGCAGTAGCGACCGGCCGTGTTCCTCCCAAATTAAGTTGAACACAGCTTCCTGGTGCCCGAGACCCCCACGGCCATTTCCTACCTTCCCTGCTGTCGCGGCCCAGCGTTTCGGTGGGTGTCTACCCCCTCCCCAGGTGACTCGGGGCTCACTGCACATTAGGCTGAACTATTGGCGATGGCCCCCAAACCTTTGCCAGTGAGTGCTTTATGTCTGACAGTGGCATGTGGCACAATTCTGGCCAAAGACACAAGAGAGGTCATTGGCTGGGGTCAGCGAAAAAAAGAACTATGAAAAAAAAAAAAAAAAGAGAGAGAGAGGGAGCTTCACAAAGAGACGGTGCTTCCTGACTCTGGACTTTGAAGTA